TTTTTTGTTCAAAACATAACGTTTTATCAAATACCAGAAGCTCTCAAACGCTTTGTATCGACCACGCATTATAAGTGTAGCAAGGAGTGTGTGTTATCCATTCTAAGATATGTAACTAGGTTTTGGATTTTGTTTGTAAGAATATTAACTTTTAGGATTGAAATATAAGTTGAGGGATTAGTCTTGGTATCTCTTAACCCCCAAACATCCCATATCCTTCATTTGAGTTTAAATGTTTAAATTTGAGATTTATGGGATAATGTATTATGTTAATGATTGAATTAAGTTAAGGATGTTATTACATGTTTAAAACATGTTTTGGATCCACTATAATCACTTTTAAGTCGTTAAAATTAAGTTTGGAACTGTTAGAAACAGATTTGGCAAAGTCAAATGTTGTTTTGGACTTTCTGCACATCTAAACAAATACATGGATTGTATACTAAACACATACATTATAGAACTTTCATATATTGTCTATGGGGCATCAGTCGGTTGTTGCATTGTTTCCATATGGCCATGTATCGAGTGTTTAGAGTTCAAATGAGTTAGATAAGTTTATTGACCTCAATTTGCTCACATATTTTATGAGTGGACAAAGCAGGGAGGCTTTGTGTGGATTCATGTGATTTGGGATGTTAGATTCCGAGCTTTGCAAATGAATCTATGAGGCTTTTGCAACTTGAAAAGATAATTGTTTAGTTTTTGCATTGGATTATTTAACTAATGTGTGTGATGTTTTTTTCAAAGGTTTAAAAAAAAATTAAAGTTGTCCTTTTAGTCACTAAGACCAAATGAAAGAGAATTGCTAAGATTTGAATGAACCATCTTAGGCTCCTAAGAACTTAGGTTTGATGTTGTTACAAAAACGATTTTGTTGAGATTAGTGGTTGTTTTTTTGTTATAGTTTTTTGTAAGTTCTTATGATCTTAATCTAGGATTTCGATCTTAACAACATTGTTTTTCATATAATTTACTATTTGTTAAAGCAATTACTTTCTTTAATAAATGGGCATTATAAATTAGGGATGTTAATGGAGCCAAACAGGGGCAAAAATAACCTCCCCGCCTCCATTGTCGAATTCTCATGTACCCCTGGCCTCAAATTCCCCATGTGTTTTTGCCCTTGATCCTACCCTCAAATTTCAATAACCATCCCAATTTCCTATTTCCTCTTGAATCCCACGTTAACCATGTTTGGCTTGAAATCCCTCATTTAACCATATTAACCCTATTTTTACTTGTTTATTTCGTTTAACATTAAAAAATTACACTAATTATTTAAATACAAAATATATATATATATATATATATATATATATATATATATATATATATATATATATATATATATATATTACATACTGGTTACCCAAAATTTATTTACTAGTTTTATAAATAAAATAGTTAAATATAGGGTAATAATCTTAAGGCCCCCATGGGGCATTAGGGACAGAGCGCCTATCCCCTGAAACTAAATAGGGACAAAACATATCCTTGCCCCCGAACCTTAAAATATTATAAAAAATACCTTCATACGAGAATGGGTCCCAGAGAGTCGGGGTCCACAAGGGTTTTTGACATCATTTCTAGTATAATTCTCATGTACACCCTCCATAATTTTTAGCTTTTTTTATTTTTCAATTTTCTTTCTGGGTATTTGATAATTGATTATAAGTTATATGTAATGTTTGACGTACTAACTAAAAAACTAAAAAAACGACTCAGACAAAGCTGCTTACCTTGTTATGGTGAGTTATAGACTGCAAACTTATAAGATACCTATAAAATTTATATTTGGTAAAAAGTTATATGATAAACTAGTTGAAAATATAAAATAACATTTAGAAAAAAAAAAATTATAATTGATTAAAGATATATTTAAGAAATTTATATAAAACTTTTCAAAAACTATTCTGCATAGTTTTTTTTAAAAAGTTAGTTTACTTGTCAAATATGACCCTATGTTTGCCATAATTGAAATATATGGAAATAAAATCTTAATTGAATTATGTGGTGATGAATATCGCGAGATCGGAGATACTATAAATTACGACTTTAACTATCAGATTGTGTGCTTAAGATTCGCCACCGTCGTCGCCGTTTCCTCGCCGGAAACCTCCCCTCCCTGTTTAATTCCCGGTACTTTTTCTCTATTCGTGTTCTTCCTTGTTATTCGATTCATTAATCACGGAATCAGGCGCATAGTTTTTCGATAACTATAAAAACGCAGAAGCAATCAGTTCAGTGAAAATTGGGTAGAAAGTCGATCGATCGTTGATCTGTTCGAGATGGGAGACTCCACCGCCACCGTCAGTGGCGGTGATAATAACTCGTCTGAGAGAAACGCGGCGGAAGAAGTTTGTAGAATCGTGGAACAGAGTAAAGAGTTGCAGGAATCTGCGGCAACTTTAATTTCTCGAAATTCACAGGAGGAAGCTTCACTAAGGCAACGAGCCCTAGCTCTAGATTCAAGTATCAAAAGGCTCCATTCATACATTGCTTCCTCCGTCAAGAAAGGGAATTTGGATCCAAAAGATGCCGAAAAAGTAAGGCCATGTTTGTTTGATTGACTCTTATTTAGTTCACTCTCGATAAGCTACTGTGTGTATTTAAGCTAATAAATACTGATTTTTCGTTGCAAATTGAAGATATTATTGTGTGGACAGCTTTACTTGCAGGTTTTTTAGTTATAAAAATGGATCCTTTATTTGGGTTGTAGTTGATTGATTGTTTTATCCTCACACAGTTGGTTGAAGAGCTAACTAGAGCGAATTATACGTTGAGTGAAGGAGATGCAGCTGCATTTCTTCCCAGCAAATCTTATGGTGATTTGCTTCCATTAATTAATTTAATCCCTCACTATTATGCTTGTGAGAACACTAGTCACACCACTTTTTGATAATTCATACTTTCCAATTTCAAATTGGAATGATTTTGAAAACACTGAAGAAAACTTTGATAACTCCATAGAGCTAAAAAAAATGTTTAATTGGTGTTGTCTGGTTACAGGAAGATTTTTGAAGATGTTTCTTGGTCCCATAAATGTTCATGCTACCAGAAAGGATGTTCAATTGAAAGTGAAAGAGGAATACAATAATTTCAGAGTAAGTTCTAAAATCCCCACCTATATAACATCTTAAACCTCTTCCATCTACACATATATGAAATCTATTTCCTCTTAAACAAATAACAAGAGAATTTTATTTCCTTTCTTTTTGGTTCCCTATGAACAGGATAGAACTGCATATCTGTTTCTTTTCTTCCCATCATTGCTTCTGCTTCTAAGGTCATGGGTATGGAATGGATGTTTTCCTGCATTACCTGTTCAGATGTACCAGGTAATGTGTGTTCTTCTTCTCATCACACTTCCGTATCCCATTTGTTACACAGGACACACAACAGGTTGTACTGTGTTTGACATGCACTGAACTAGAGACAAAAAAATTCCAAATCTTTTTGTCTCAAACCAAAACTATGGGAGAAAGATTCGTTCTTGAATCTTGATCTCTTTTCTATCCAAAAGACACGAATGCCCTCCTCATCCTCATCATTGAAAATTACAAGTGTGCCCTTTTCAGGCGTGGTTGCTCTTTCTCTACACAGGGTTGGCTTTGAGAGAGAATATCTTGAGAGTTAATGGAAGTGACATTCGTCCATGGTAATAATTTTTCCTTGTAAATGTTTCTAGGGCCCACATGTTAGACAGGACAGACTTGTTCTTGATCTTTCATTTGTGCAAAAGACGAAAATGCCCTCTTGATTTTATTTTTTTTTCAGGTGGATATATCATCACTATTGTGCTATGCTTATGGCGCTCATCAGCCTCACATGGGAGATAGAAAGGCAACCCGATTGCTCCCAGAAACAGGTTAAATTACTAATTAAATTATTTCGTTTCATTTAATTTTAGGTTTGAGTGTTTAAATTTTAATCTTATTTAATTTTTTCAGAAAGGTATACAATTGTTTTTGAAATGGGCAATCATGCAAGGAGTTGCAATGCTTTTACAAAATAGATACCAACGCCAAAGGCTCTATACTCGTATAGCATTGGGAAAGGTATTGTTATAATTTATTTATTTATTTTTAAATACAAAGAAAAAGATAGATTAAATGTGACCCTAAAAATCATTAAAAAGAAAAAGGATCTTTAAGGACTTGATTTTGATTTGCAGGCTAGAAGAATGGATGTTGTGTGGGGTGAAACTGCTGGAGTAGAAGGTCAAATATGGCTTTTATACCCCATTCTCTTTGTCTTACAGGTCATTTTCTGCTTAAATACTAACCTACTACTTCCAATTCATTGTTTAATCATATTTACAAATTTACCCTTTGCTTATCTTCTATTCGTAGGCTTTTGAAGCATACGTGGGTCTGCTATTGCTTAAAACCGCAGTGGTTGGTGTCGTTTCTGAGTGGCAGGTATGTCATTACACATTCCAACTCATTCTTGTATTTTCGATAACACAAATGAGAAGGGCATTTACGTCTTTTTCACATTTGAAAAAAGATGCAAATTTTGTCCCATTAGTATCAGAATCGGTATCTGTTAAAAAAAATTATATTTATAACCAGGTGGTTACGTGTGGGGTTCTTCTGATAATTATGGCGGTTGGGAATTTTACAAACACGGTAAAAACATTGGTGTCAAAATCACGGGTGAAAGCCAAAATGAAGAAAGGTAAAAGTAAAAACGACTTGCTTCAAGGATCCTCATGACTTCAATAATCAAAAACAAGAGGATGGATATATCATGTCATATTATTAGCATCTGTGATGCGTATTTTTTTGGATGTTTTTTTTGTTTAACATTATATTTGAAGAGTGGACATTTGGATTTTGTTAAATTTAGAATATTAGTTGTGCCCGAAACTAATAAACTATTTTATTTTTGTTTAAATTCAACCTTGTTTATATACGTACTTTAGAATTTGCTTTATAAAAGTGTTTCCTAGCATTGCTATATTTAACATGCAATCACATATTATGAATCATAGAGAAAGAAACATGCAAAGTACACTTTTACTCTACACGGACGTCAATATTACTGATGTAAAAAAAAGTTGTTTCAGTAAACGATAACATGATACCTCGATTTTAGAGCGAAATTATCATAGAAACTAGAAACTTCTTAATATTACAAAACAAAATATTAAAAAAAAAAAATCATCAAAGTTGGAGGGACATCAAGCATACAACAGAAGCACCACCTACAAGTGTAGAAAAGAAATCTCAATCTCATTGATAAATGAAACACTTAAGAAGATGGAAAAAAAACACTTACGCTTTCACAATTTTATTAATTTAGCCACCAAATCATTATATTTTATGAAGATTATAATATAATAATTTAATGGCTAAATTGATACTGGTGAAATAAAATTAAAAAACGAACCTATTTCTTTTTTCTACCAGCTCCACCCTTCGCTTTTTTGTTGGCTGGTTCTTTTGCAGCTTTTTCATTCGTTTCCTGTCCCAAAAAACGTCATAAACTATTAAAAAAAAAAAAAAAAATCCATTCACAGCATTTTCTCAAATAAGTTTTTATTGGGAAAAAAAAATGGCCTAAGTCAATCACTAGTTTCTCAAAACCATTAAAAAAACACGGCTAAATTTTAAAACATCACCATTTTGGCTTCATGTGCCAAAGCATACACCTTTGGATAACATCAGGGGGTGTTTGGAACACAGACTTAAAGTTGGAGGACTAAATCTGCTTATGATCTTTCCAGTTAATATCTTAGTCTTGGTTACTTGTTTTGAAGATCCAAGAACGCATTTAGTATCCTGACAGCCAAAGGGTTAATTTCGTAATTATGCAACGATGTTCCACCTTTTTTTTTCTATTTCTTTTCAACTTATTCTATTAACTACTCAAGCAGGAAAAAAAATAATCAGACCTCAATTTTGCTAAAACTATTTAAGAGAAACATAACTGGTGATGATTCCACAAAAATAAAAATACATTAAAATAATTCAACTACTAGAAAAGGATATCGTACCTTTCTCTTAATGGGAACAGAAGTGCTAACAACTGGTTTAAAGAATGATTCTAATCTGGTATAAAGAAAGCAAAAAATACAAATTAAAAACTAAGAATGCATACGCAAAAAATGAATAATCAGGTTTTAAGTTTTTTACCGATTTTGTGACGACTTGTTCTTGGAAGCTTTTATTTTCTCTACTGCCTGTTATTTAAATACATTACTTAATTACATGTACAAAGAGCTAGAAAAAATAAATACAAAAAATATTTTTTTTTTTAAATAAATAATGAGTAAAATCATTTGGTGTCCTTGCCTTTGTGACTCTGTCACTGTTGAACCCATTTTCAGTCACCAAGAAGTTTAACAAACCCTGAAAAATAAAAAAATTAAAATTAAAAAATAGAATTTTTAAAGTACATTGCTATTTTTTGTTATTATAATATGAATCTCACTTCTTCATCTGGAGAAGTCCATTTAAGTTCAAGCTGTTCATCATCAACACAAACCAAAGGCTCTTTGAAAAGGCGTCTGGCCTCTTGATATGGCCAATTCTCAGGTATTTGATATCTGACAACAAGGGTAAAACCGTAAATAACATTCTCCAACATTTTTTTAAAATAAATAATAAATAAATAAAGAACCTTTCTTTGTTTATATTTTCAAGGATAGTTTCTATTGACCCGTGTTGACGAATGAGCTTCAAAGCTGTCTGCCCACCAATACCTAAATTTTAAAAATAAAAATAAACAAATAAATATATATATATATATATATAATAAAAAAAAAAAATAAGAAATTTATAAAAATTATATATTTATTTAACAACCTCTAATACTGTCACAATAATCACATCCACAAAGGATACAGAGATCAATGAATTGATCCATTGTAAGGTTCAGTTCCTCCAAAACCTGATATAAAATTAGTTAAAAAATAGTGAAAAAGAATAATAATAATAATAATAATTTTTGTTTATTTTTTTAATTTAAAACCTTGGAAACGTCAAATTCCATCACGGGGATTTTTCTTGAAGCAGGATCCATTAAATGTCTAAGAAATTTTGGTGCTCCAAAAGTAAGAGAATCCATATCTTCAGAGGCAACAGCATACACCTGAAATAAATTTATTTATTATAATTAAATATATTAAATAAAATAAAATAAATGTTTGTTTTGCATATATGGAAAAAAATACGTATACATTACCTTATCAGCTTTGCAAAGAGCAGCACATTGTGCCTCTGCTTCAGATGGGGCCTACACTCCCATAAGAAATAAAATTACAAATTTACCCTTGTTTACTTTTTCATTCCATTTCCATAATTGTCATGTTATTTTCTCAATAATAATTTTTAAAAAATAAAAAAAATAAAAAGTTACCTCAATAACAGGCACTCCCATAAGCCTTAGAAGTTTTTTGCAATCCTCATTATGTTGTCTTGTTACCTAAAAAAGATGGAAAACAATTCTTTATAGTTTATAACTTAAATAAATTAAAAATTAAATAAACATTAAAGAAAAACATGTAGATAATTAGAGACCTTCACAGTACGTTTACTAAATTTCTCAATGTCTTCCTTATTGCCAGCCTACAACAGTAAAGAGATTAAAAAAATAATAATGATAAGTAAAAAAATATGAAGATCACATAAAAGAAGTGGAAACAAGTCATGAAATTACCTTAATAGCCTCATCTAACTCGGCTGTTGCATCTTCTCTCCTTGAGTATCTGTGTAATAACCCTAAAACTATGTCACGTTATTGACATTATTTGTTATGATAAAACAAGAATTAGGTTACCTTTTTGCAAGTTCTTGTTTCTTCAAATCGGGAGGTGCCCCATCAAAAACATAGCTAGATATGGAGAGGAAGGTCAAATTGGTCATACATATGAAGAAATGAAAGATTAAAAAAGAAGAAGAAGGAAAGAAATATGGATTTACACTGGCTTCAATCCAGATTCCAGAAGCCTAATAGTCCGATTGAACATTCCTTGCAAATGGCTGTTATACATACAACAAATTGTAAAAATGAGACCCAAATTGTGGATTAGAATATGAATTCAATGATCTTTCATCCGAAATTAATATGTTTAAGAGATGAAAAATCGTTTAAGACACTTACCTAGTCACATCACCAGCCTCATTAGTCAGCATTTCTGTCCCACTTCTTCCGACGACAATCTACAATAGATCCAATTCATATGAAGCATAACACATACGTATAGTGATTTATGTTGAAATGGGAAGGGGAAACGAGAATTTGGGTACCAGAAACTGGTAGATGCTCATGCTAGCATCGATGGCGATTTTCCGACCAAAATAACTCTCGAATTTCTGCTCTTTCATGGCCTTCGGGGCATTGTCCGCTAGAAGCTTCGTTAAACCCTAAACACCCAAATTCAACAAAAAAAAATTTCAGAACAGTTTAAATTACCAGAATCAAACATGTTATCGACAAGAAAATATTATCAGATTCTAGGAAAATAACTACCTTTATCCCCATTTGCGTGGATTGGTGGAAAAATCAAGTAGAAATTAACGAGTGGAACGACCGATGCTCAATCCGAACTAGGGTTTTTACCATTTTCCCGCCTCTTCCGACTGCACATATATGTAGAGAACATTTTTCTTTACCCCTTTTTCTATGGAACTATTACTCTTCAGACCTTCACATGTTATATGTACATACACATTAATTTGAGATTTATGTATTAAATGAATTAATTAAAAATTATATATATATATATATATATATATATATATATATATATATATATCAAAATATTTGAAAACTTTGAATTTATAAAAAATAATGAATTATTATAATTGAAATTCTTTTATCTTTTAAATTTAAATAAATAAACAAAAAGAAACTAATGAGTTTTAATTTGAAAATTTTGAAATTAAAATGTAAGTTCATTAATGAAATTGATATGTATTTTTTACTATATTTATTGCAATTATTACATTTAAATATTATATGAAATTTAATAAAATATAAAAAAACTCATAAAATAACATGTGGAAAAAAATAATTCAAAATAACTAAAAAATAACATTTGGAAAATTAAATAAGAATGTGACATGTGGCAAAACAAAAACTTCATTTATTAGAGTAAATATAACGATTAAACCAAACTGCAAATTTGGTCTCTATGGTTTCACAAAATTATAAATGAAATCTAAAATCTTTTCAACTTGTCCTATTGGTCTTAAATCAAAAAAAAAAGGCAAAATCACACTTGAATGAAAAAATCCAAAATCAAGTCCTAGAAAAAAAACTAAACTAAACAAATCAAAGAACACCCTACTCGCGACCTTTACAACAAATTTCTTTGTAACATCCCAATTTTCAAGATCAAAAATTAATTTTTTTTAATGATAGTGGTTAATTAGTTGAAATTTGAAGAGTTCAAATATTAAATTAAGGAGTAATTAGTAAATTTAACATGATTGCTAAAAAGAATTTGAGAAAACATGAGAGTTTTAAAGTAATACGGTGTAAGGAAGTTGACCTCTTTTAAAATAAATATATAGATAGATATAAATATATATACATATATACAATAAACTATTTATAAGATTATATGTATTTATTTATTGCTTTAGATTACCATAGTCATGGAGTGTTTATATTTATTTATGGATCAAAATACTTAGAGAAATTCCATAAGTTCTTTTTAGTTGTTATATTTTCATAATTTTAATTGTTATACATAAACATCCATTGTGTTATTTTGTTATAAATTTTTCTTTAAGTTTAAGGTTTTGTTATTTGTGTTTTTTGATATATGTGTTTGATATTTTAGTCAACTCGTATTTTCCTTTATTTATATGAAAGCCATTAAAATATGGATATATCACAATATCACATGCATCTAATATTAATAAATTCTTAAAACAAAACAAAAAATGCAAAATAATAACGAAGATGTTATAACTAAAATTTGTTTTCGTTTCTTTACATTTTCTTTTAATTAAATTAGAATTAAATACCACATAATGTTGTCAAAAAAATTCAATCATATATCCAACAATAAATATAACTTTCTAATCATATTAGTTAACTACCCGATAACGAAAACCCAATCAAACAAAAAATAGGATATTGCAAACTAAGAGCATACATTTTCATTTAATTGTAATAAATAAATTTAAATAGATTCATCATTTTTCTTTTGGCTCCAAACGTAAAACCATAAACATTTTCTTGAAATATAAATAACGTAGAATGAAAAAAGATTAAATTTTAAAAAGTTACCTAAAAGCTTTTAGGCTTTCCAAACATTGATTGCCATACTCACCTTTAGTTTTCTCTAATATATTTCATCATTAATCTCTCTTTCATTGTGAATAGACAAAATTGCACAAATAGTCCATATTATGTTGAAAACTGTCACTTTGGTCCAAAAATGTTTGGACTAACACCAGAGGTCCAAAATTTTTAATTTGTTGTGAATTTGGTCTAATTTATTTTGAAAATTTCTAAAGTGATGGAATTGCCCTTGGTATTTTCTTTTTCTAATTATCTTTTATTAAATTTGTATTTTCTAATTAAAAATTAAACCAAAAAGAAAAAGAAATATAACCTATTACATCCACATGTTTTTTTTTATAACACACATAAACATCATATCCCTCTCTTCATTATGTCAAAAACAACTATCACCAGCAGTCGGAGCACTGCCATCGTCCGACCATCAAAACCTTTGCCAGAACCTTAAAACTATTCGGCACCGACTTCGTCGGAGAAAAAAAACTGAGATCCGAACCGCCGAAGACCACCATGCTTCTTTCTTTATGCTGCTACGACGACCATCACTCTCTTTTTCTCCCTTCTGTTGTTATCAATCGTCTGTCGAACCATCCAAACCACCATCGATGACGAAGATTTGAACATCAGACGTCGGATCTGCGATTTGTGTCTGTGTCGTTTGGCTTTCCAGTGCCGCAATCGGATCCTTCAGCCTTTATTAGCATCTTTATCGACTTCGGAACCCCAAGGTCGTTCGTCACCAACTCCATGTTGCCTCCGTCGGTGGCTCGAGTTATTCTACCTCTGTATGTGGTGAAACAAGAATGATGATGAAAAGGTTAAGCGAGATGATGCCATCATCTATATACAAACTATAGCGTTGCCACCGCCTCTACAAACATTTGCTTCGATCTCATTGATAATTATCGCTACCGGAATACGACAAACAGGATAGACGTATCTAGAACTGTTTGCTCTGGTGATTGGTTCCTTGTTGCTGGAAACCTTCATCGATCTTCATCTTCGAAAATCACTCCCATATCCTTAAAACCTTCTAGTTGTCGCACCCTTTTGGTTTGTTGTCAAAAAAACGTCTCCGGCAACAGAATCTTCTTGTTACCGGAATGCTTAGTCATCGGAATAGCCACCAGAATCTGGTGGTGTTTTTTTTCTGAACAAGAGAGAGAAATATAGGGGGTGGGGGTGATAATACAATTTTTTTTTCTTTTTTAGTTCTTATAATTTAAAAACTAAATTGAAAATGAAAATTTAAAGAGCAAAATCGTCGTTTTATAAGAAGTCAAAACAAATTGGACCAAACTCGCAACAAAATGAAAACTTTGGACCACTGGTATTAGTCTAAACATTTTTTGATCAAAGTGACAATTTTCGACATACCACAGGGACCATTCATGCAGTTTAGTTGTAAGTGAATTACCAAACATGAAATAATCTTCTTAGATAAGCAAAGAGTTCAAGTAATCAAACAATTAATCAACGTAAGTTAAAAAGATGAGTTTAAATGAGTATGGTTCAAGATAGACGATTTATCATGAATCATGTGGATTTGGATGATGTCATTGTAAAGAAAAGATAGAGATTACTATATATATATATATATATATATATATATATATATATATATATATATATATATATATATAGTAATGCAGAAAGAAGTTAGGAACAATATTCTTTATATCCTTTAGAATTTTGCCACATAAGATTCCAAACTTTGGTAGCTTTTGTCCCTTAGAAGCCTAATTTTTTAAAAAGACTCATTTCACCGCTTTTCTTGGCCGATCAGTTGTATTTACTCCCATCGCCTTCTACTGCTTTCATCTACCGCACCATTCATATGAAGATTTATCGCCTCTCTCATCGTTATCTCTCTGTCTCTCCCAACATTTTTCCGATAAGCCACCGCCGATGGGCTGTCCTCGCCTTCTTTCAGCCTTTTTCTTCTTGTTCTGTGCAGCAAAATGAATTTCCTTGTCTCTATAGAAATCGACAAATCGCTATATAATGTCTCCTTTGATGGGTTGCGGTTTTGATTGCTTCCTTTGACGGGTTTTGGTGTTCATCATTGACCGGTAATTCCTTTAATGGGTTCCAATTTTGATTTTTCTTTACATTGATTGAGTTGATGATGACTTTTTCTTGTGAAAAAAATATGCACTCTCGATGATGGTTGAACTTCAAGGTCGCATTTTGGCAAGGCAACTTGGAAGGCATATCCTATCAGTGGGTGTTTGCATTTATAACAGTGTTTCATCCTCTTTTTCTGAGCCTCGTATGTTTGAAAATGATGATCGTATTTTTGATTTAGGGTAAATCATTAATTTTTGATCTTAAGTTCTTTAATAGGAACCATCTCCAATTATAACTTGATGGAAATGTGATTTTGAAACAATTCCTTACCTATGTAAATTAGCACCGGATCTGCAGTTCATTTTATTTTCATCGTGTTTGTGGTTGTTTATATATGATGTCATCTACATTTTTTGTAGGCGGGGAATCTGGTACATAAAACCCACATTCTACTAAAGACTAATATCAGGTGATGTCTTCCTATTATGGTTTTTTTCGTTCTTTTTGTTACACTTTTAATCAATTGTTGTTAATTTGTTTTATTGATTTGGTGTAGGTGTAAAGTTCGTCTCTCTTTCTCTTTCTCAATTTCATCTCAACCATGGAAGTCTTCTTCAAATAATCTTCATAAAATGAGTTTGTATTCTTTTTACTATTCTCTGTGTTTTATATGTTTTTTTTTTCCTAAAACGTCTATCTTAGGATGGAATTCGAGAGGTTGCCAAGGAATGATTTCATAGGAATGACACTGAAATTTAAGAAAAGTGCACATTAAGGTGTTGTTTGTTTTTGTAGGCAAAATGTTTCCAGTTTGCGGAGCACATCTGTAGACCTCTACAGCAGAAGATGTGAACCAAACGTCTGCAGTCTGAAAAAAAAAGTTTGTTTGTTTTTTAACATCTGTAGACTACTAAAATAAACTAAAATTTAAATAAACTGATTTTTTTAACTACAAAGTGATTTTTTAATATATTTATTACTTTGTTGTAAATAATTAACAGATTTAAATCAACTTTTTTGTAATATTGTTTTTTAACATCTATGGTCCACATCTGCGTCAAGAAGAGGGCGCACAAGCATTTTTAGGTCTGCAGTCTTTAAAAAAACAAACATTCTGTGAATGCTAATGTCTGTGTGTGGTCTGCATCGCGCAGACAAAAGAGGCCAAGAAGATATGCGGAGAAAAAACAAACACCACTTAAGTGTTCGTAGAAATGTCTAATAGTGAAAAAAAATGACGAAGAGCACCCCTCAATTCCTGATTTATGGTCCTTATTTATTGGTTATTATTGCTGC